CAACTGGTGATTCTAAACGTGTTTACATCTGGAGGGAGTCAGGAACACGAAATGATCCCTCGAACATTGTGGAACGTGACTGTTTTGGTAGTGGAGGTGTGATGGTATGGGGTGGAATAATGATCGATGGACGTACGCCCCTACACGTGTTCAGCAGTGCATCTGTGACAGGCCAGATATATCGAGATGAGGTCTCAGATTCTTATGTAAGACTTTTCAGGGGTGCATATGGACCTGACCTTTTATTTATGGATGATAATGCCCGTCCACATCGAGCAAACGTCGTTGATGAATTCCTTGAAAGTGAAGACATTAAGCGAATACCTTAATGCCTTAATTACCACCAAACTCTCCTGACCTTAATCCGATAGAGAACTTATGGGACTACTTTGGAAGAGCAATTGCACGTATACATCCTCCTCCTAGAGATGTAAATGCTCTGAAGACGGCATTGCTGGAAGAGTGGAGATTAATTCCCCAAACTGTGGTTAACAACGTTATTTCCAGCCTTAAAACACATTGTGATATGTGTGTACAAGTCAGGGGAGATCGTATTCCATATTAAATTCGTAAAACTTAATTCTTTTTCTGAATCATTCCTTTTTTTCTTAACTCTCTTTGTCACACTTTATTACCATTTTTATTGTTTCATGCTACAATTTTATATCATATGAGGTGATCTTCAATTTTTTCTTTTGCATTTATGTGTCATCATATTATATATAATTCCACGAAAATTCATTAAATTATAAGTTGTAGTCTCTGAGAAATCCGTGAATTTATGCATGTAAACATAATTTTGGACATGAGTGTATATCGATAACTATTATCGTTTAACTTTCTTTTATATTGCAAATAATTGAATTTTGTGTTTTGTATTGAATTCAGTAATAAATTCTGTTTAAAATGATATATACAAGTTTGCATTTTGTGAAACGTAACGTTTCCTATAAGCATACGAAGTTCAAAAACATAAAAATTTCCGAAAGTGTCCACAATTTTGGCCACCACTATAGGCATAATCCTTAAACCAATTTTTTCCGTAGTAAGATCTGGTTGCCTAGTAGTGAAGCTCAGCTTAGACCACTAACGATTTGAAAACCATAGTGGGAACGAAGCTTTAGAGAACACAGCTTTCGGTGATAAACATGAGGGATCCATCCTATTCAGCAATCTTGGAGTTTGTTAAAGAAAAATGTTGATGTAGAGACGGGCCTCTGTTCAAACCCCACAGAAGGCATGGTGATGTGTTATAGTGTCTGTGTCGCATGGGAGCATTCAAAGTACATCATTAGCCGAAAGTGATCACAAGTAGTTTGGTGGTAAAGGAATAGAGGTGGAGACCTTCAGACCTCAAAACTGGGGTGGAACTGAGAAAGTCGTTCTGTCACTTATATGGTGTTCAAGGCTCATGCTAATAACAGATGCAATCTTGCATTCTTACAATAAAATTCGTCGGATTGCTCTGATTAGGTCAGAAAAATGAGATTGGCCACAACAACAATCTGTTTAATACTCAATGGTGCAAATATTAATTTATTAGTAGAATTATATTACTAAAACTACGAATTAAAGAAAGAAAATAGTGAATAATGTAATATAATAATTTCATAGGAAATAATTTATTAGATTTCTGAGATGCTGTTAGCAAACAGTACTTTAAATTTCGGAGGAAAGATTTTACATGCAAAACGCGAAAATATCCTATAAGCCTATATAATTTTAATATATAAAAATACATAATTTGTTTTTAGTAACAGCAAAAATACTGCTATATTTACGGAATAAGGTCCACTTGCTTGACTTCATTATTTGTTAATCACTTCCAATTATGAAATGGTTTGAACTTTTTATAAAACAAATCAAGTGCTTTATTATTTACTAAATTACGAACTAGCAGTTTTAACCTGCCAATAGATGGCATTCCAAAATACCCGCCGTTTAGAGGGCACAGAAGCGTCAGTATGTACAAAACTCATGACATGGTGATATGTTGTGTTTGAAAAAAAAATCTTGCACAATGCGGCTTGTTGTATAAATGTATATAACTGTATTAATAAATATGTAAGGTGCATTTTAATTTTATAACAGTTACTTTAATTTAGTGAGCCTTATCCCGTTTCAACTTACAACTTTCTACTGGAATAAGTTTTTAGAAACGCGTTGAATGCAAATAAGGAAGAGATAGCATTAAAGGAAAGTTCAACTGACCTCGACAGAGGGTTGGTGTTGGTGTATTTAATTATGGAAAAGCACACTAGGGCTATATGCCTAAGGGGAGGGATGCCTTCGTGGAGGACTTTCTAAGGGAAACTGGCTCGTATATACGTTACACATGGGGAAAACCACGAAAACGCCCATGCAGCCAGGCCGTTCGCGAGATTCGAACCTCGGACCGAACTACCAGTGTTCAGCGACTTTACCGCTTGGCCGCTGGTGGGCTCTCGACAGAGGGAGAGTTAGGAATGCTGAATAGCCCGCGTTTGCCTTTGGGCTACGTTTCTCTATGCTCGGCCGTATTATTACGTGCCTTTTGATAGTTTGCCGGCTAATTTAAGATTACGGGCCAACTATATTAGAAATCTATTAGCCTCGACTAAATCTCTCAGTTAGTAATAGTTAATTCTTATTTCTTACTTTTAAATTTAAGTCCAAGTGGAGGCTTGTTGTAAGGCCGAAGAAAGGGGCCGACTGTTAATCTTATTTTGAGTGAATAAAGGGTGATTAACCCTTCTTGAGTTGACGCTTTCTGTTCTTTGGACTAAGCGGTAATTCGCTTCACTAGGTTCCTCGACACTTCATTTAGCAGAATAAAAGTGGGGAACCCTATAAATGAAAATACGAAGAATGGCACTGTATCTAGTATCATCTACAACAAGAACACGGAAGAATGTTTACAATACTTGTTCACATAATTCAGAGCTCCATCTAATTCCCAAATTTTTTTCTTGCGTCGATCTCTTTTAAAATAATTAATGTTAATATTCTTTCATCGAGCCCCTTACATTTTCCTGTATAATAAACAGGATACAAAATAATACTGCAATTAATCGTGCATAGTTCCATTTTAATCAATGTTATGTCTGCGTTCGATGCATTGATGCAATTTTTTTTATTTGGCATAAATTTGTTTAATTTTTAAATCACCTTATTCAGAAACATTCAAACTATTTCCTGTATTCGATTTCAATTTTGCGTTCTTCATACATTTTTTTTAAACTTTACCGAGCATTGTTCTTGCATTTTAATTTATATCGCATGTATTGAATATAAAATTCATATAATGAAAAATTATTGGTTTTTTTAAATAAATATTTGCATTTTCTCCTAAATGAATTTTATGGATACTTACGCCGTATTATTCCCTCGAACGTGAAACAGTTTCCAAGCAGCGCAATTTAGAGCCAGTTATAGACAAGCATGATGTGACAATATATCCATAACATCTGCGCTTTTATGTAATGCAGCTCTATTAAGCCATGTTATTTTTTGAAGAAGGATATAATTACTTACTTTTTCCTTTGTATTTCGAAGGATATTAAAATTTGGGGCCTGCTTTCAACAAAACAATAAGCAGTGGATTAGTTTCAAAGTTATAGGATCCCTATCATCAAGAAACGTATGTGAATGGGCACGATATGGTCAAATAAATGTGGCTGAGAAAGCATTAATGACTGGACCTACGGGAAAACCTAGGGAAAGCTTGTACTCATAACATTTTAAATAAAATCCAATAAAACCGGACAGCCTAGCAAAATAGAAAAATTCTGAGAAGCCTTTTCCAAGAAAACGAAGAACGAAGTGGATCAAACACAGACTGTTTATTAAATAAAGAGTCGAATTCCTACAGAATTTCGCAAAAGCGTTTGGCACAATTTGGGAAGGATTTCTGCCAATTTTCATGGTTCGATGTTAGCCAAATATCATGGTGGGATAATATGCAAGTACCATTTAATGATTTCTTCCTTACAATTTGATACAGCTTTATATCAATAAATAATTATAAATTTTATTAAATTTTTAAAATCAGTAGGAATATGATTATGCCGATAAATTCCATTTCGTTTTCGGCTATCGACCGCTTGATCATCATTGATCCTTTTAAAACTTGATTGACTTCTACGGTCATTACCGACCCAGTTAGGAGATCCTGATCTAAAGGAGCAATAATGCTTTCCTCTTCTTTTTTAATCAGAATTTAAACTTCTTTGCGTCATACCCAGACTCTTCGTTTGTTCAAAATATATTACAGTTTTCATCATCTGTTCAAGATGATGAGATTTCTCATCTGCCATTATCCGCCATCTTGCCAACTACTGTTTCACAGCAGATTAGAATCAGATACTGACTTCTTTTGACATCTATCGTATATTCTATAAACAAAAGCATCCAAATACACGCTACATTCAATATATAATATTCAAAATTTATGGAAAAAGTGAATCGTATGATATTTCATACGCCAAATTCTGCGCCACTTTTCTTAAAACATTTCAATACCTGATTCTCATCAATCTGTTCCTTACTCCTTTCATGTATTTGTATGTATTTACCAAAGAATTGTTTTGACTTAATTCACCTACATGTTCTACTGAATCGGTAAGAACATCACAATATTCATTATAGGAAGCTGATATTAAAATTTAAATAATTTGATTATTCCGAAATGTAAATTGAATTTTATATTAAAGTTCAGTTGCTGATCTTGCAAGTAAGAATTTAAAATTTACAGGTAATTATATAAAAACATTTTAGCTAAGAATTAAGACATGTTTGGTGATCCAATAATATATTTGATGCCTGATTAGGTATGAAATGTTTTGCAGAATAATACACTTATTAACATCAGTATTCATATTCTCAGAAACGGAGGCTATTTTCAGAAGTGGTCAGCTAAAGGTGGTAAATGTTTGGTTGGTTTTCCTATCTTGTTTCTAAAATATCATAATATAAGAACGCCTCATTAAGAAATAATTGGGTGGAAGAGTGTGCATACTCACCTCGTTTCCATCCTGGTTTATTGTAGTTGTAATTATGGATTTCTTTATACCAATCATTCACAATTTGTTCCCCAGTCTTGGAGGCCTGATCCAAGTCAATGAGACAAATATTTTCTCCAACACCTGTAACATAAAACTCTTTTCTGTTATATTTCAGCTTTATTTTTATATCACTTATTTTTGAATTTCAGTATCATCAAGAAACTACATACGCATCTAATTTTAAAACTATACGCATTTTAATATTAATAAAAGTTTCATCTGCTATTTCAGTTTTTTATAGTTTATTAGGAGCTCACCAGCGGCAGAGCAGAAAAACCGCTGAACACGATTAGTTCGGTCTGGGTATAATTCCCGGCGAACAGGCTGACTGCATGGGCGTTTTCGGGATTTTTCTCATGTGTGACGTGGACACAAGCCAGTTTCCCTTAAAAAGTCTTTCCACTGCTCGAGACTAATTTGAAACATTTACATTTAATGGAATTTTTTGAACAGAATGCGAATAAATACGATTAACTTGAGTTATTTGATTATGGCAAAGCACATGAGGGCTATATGCCTGAGTGGACGGACGCCTTCCTTTGCCATAATCAAATAAACCTTCAACACAAATGCAAACAAAATGCTTCTAATTTTCCTATTATAACAACCACATGAAAATTCCGAAGATGGTCATTAAAACCATAAGAAAGGTTAATTAATAAATGTCAGTAATCTGAAATCAGGAAACAATACGGCTCTTTAATAGTCCTTCTTTCGTTTCACAACCCTAAAACCTCCAATTCAAAAATCAATTCCATAATCAAAGGGCAAATCTCTTGATAGTTGAGATAAAAGGTAATTTCGAAAGCCGTTTAGATACCTTTATTTTTATGACGTTTTAAGGATTATAATGACTTCAAAAGCTTCTTAACATTAGATAAAGTTAGAAAGTTTAATTTGCTTCCGATTTTATGTCAAAATATTTTCCTCCTTAAAAATGCTTGAGCCAAATTTCTGCCTCGTTATCCATCATTATATTCTTTTGTTTAGAGCTACCTTACTTTGCAAACGATAACATGACATGTCACTAGACTTTTATCAGACATCTGTTGATTGATCCTTGTCAATTTTGGCTAATTCCCCATTTTATAAGATAAAATATCCTTAAGCAATTGAAATATGCTGTTGGCTGCATGCCAGACAACGCAGTTGAGAATAATGGATTGCGAAACAAATGTTATTTGTATCAAAATTTAACTTACTTTCAGTCTTAGAACAAAAGCTGAAGTAACGGCTGTTGACAGTAAAAGTTGAAAATTTACAATTTATTCCAAGACTAATGCACACCGAAAGCATAAAACTTTGGTATAAAATATTTAAATTGTAGCAGCGACGCGAATTTAGTTAGATATGCATAGTAATTTATATTTCTTTCCAGAATATTTTACTAGTTTTGACAATGCATGGTTTTCTTTTCCAAAGTAATGCTAATCAAATTGCAGTCAGCTGCATCCAATATCAAAACTGTCGTCTAAAGTTTCGAAAGAGATGATTGCTTAGTTATTTGTTTATGCTTTTAAATATTTTTAGAAACATGCACACCTTGAACCAAAAAAAAAAAAGTTACAGTTCTACATTTCTTGTTCTACTGGACCAATTGTCGAAATTAAACTCCATGTCCATGGATAATTTTCCATGTCTTGAAAACGCGATTTAGGATATATATCATATATATATCATTGTTCTAACAAGTATTTTGACACAAAATCGGAATTTTTATGAATTATAACATGCCAATCTTTTTCCATATTTCGATTCCACTACTCAAATTATGCTTAGACATCAAATTTCGTAATTTTTGGGTTAGAAATTTACGGGAAAATAAAAAAATTATCTTTGCGCATTTTTTTTCAGTTTACGTCAAGAATAATTCACTTGGCAAACTTCTTAATTTATAGCAACCTATTTTCCTTTCCTTTTTTTTAATTGTACAGAGGAGAATAGGTCAAAGTTCATACTTTCAAATAATTTTAACAAAGTGCATAAACCACATTTGGCGTTGTAATCGCTTATAACAAATATGACAAAGTTCAAAACGTGCCAATATATAAATTCACGTATATCTTAGGAAATTTTGAATGAGAAACACATTTTTTTGGCTATGCTTAGAAATACATCTATTTTAAGACGATGGTAAAAATTTTATATGTTATAATTCAAAGTTGTTTTCGAAACATTTATAAAAAATATTTAAAAATACAAATTATAAAATAAATTCATAAAAAAAGGGACGAATTTTATTTGGAATGAACCTAAATTTCCAAATGTGAAAGGAAGAATCAAATAAGTTTAATAAAAAGATATTAATACATCTATACTAAGTTTAATTAACATGGAGGAGCTAAAATTTTGAGAGCTAATTTTTTAAAACTACTCGTGTGATTTTTACAGAACTTGGGCACTCTAGCATAATGAGTCTTAGAATTATCTTCAGCGGTGAAAGAAAGCTTTAAATTTATTCCAAAGTTAGTTGCACTGAATAAATTAAGAAGAGCATTGACACCTTATGCCTTGTAAATATTTATACTTAAATAAAAACGTAAATATCCTGCTGAATTTTCGTTAATTTTGCATAGCACGCTGCATAAAATCAAAAAGTGCCCAGTGAACTTAAATGAAAAAAGGGCGAATTCCTCCTTCCCGGACAAAAAGCGAGAAAAATATGCGACTGAATGTTGGTTAAATTCGTGAATAATTTTTATTTTTCCAATTATAAAAAATAAGTCTTTTATAAAAGTCTTATTTTTTAGTTTACGTAACAAATTATGTCTTGCTTTAATCCTATGTTTAAAAAAAAAATAGAGTTTTCCAGACTAGTTGACATTTTTAAACTAGTAATGGCAAACTGTGACGGTAGATCTGCGAGCTGCATTCGGCCCATAGATTCTTTTAATGGCCTATGTCAAGGTTAAAATAATTTATGACTGGAGATTTTCCAATGCGTCGAGTTTTCGTACTTTTAGTTATCTCAGTTTTGAACATAGTTCTGACATAAGTAAACCTCCTTTTACATCAAAGTCCTAAGTTCTTTCATTTAATTGCCTTGAAATTTAAGCACAAATATTTCACTGAAAGGTATTACAAATGGAATTTTGAAGTAATGAATGCGATTTTACACTTGTCTAGGAGATGTTCTAAATGCTAAACTCCTTATAAAGATAATTTGAGATAACTAAAGTATATCTCATCAATAGGGTTTGATGAACAACAAACTGAACTTTAAAATTTCGCATCAGTAAACATACGAGTAAATCTTACGTTTGAGACAAATGGTTTGGATTACTAGACTCGAGGGCACTCTAGGGCTATTTGTCTAAGGGGAGAGGAAAGATGCTTAAATTAAGGATTTTCTAAGGGAAATTGGCTTGTGTACACGTTACACATGGGGAAAAAACGCGAAAATGCCCATGCAGCCAGACCGTTCGCAGGATCCCCTAATCTAACTACCAAAATTTAAAGACTTAATCGCTTAGCAATTTTCGTTGTCTATTTTCGAGAAAAGGAAAATCCATTACTTAGGATTGTTTGATACAAACCACATATTCAGTTTTACTTGGCCTATATCAAAATTATTCCAAACACTCACATATTTGGTGAGTTAGACTGCCCTGAGGTTTCCCTATCCAGAAAAATCTCTCAATTAGGCAATCACGAATTCGAATTCACTTTTCCCACTAATCTGTTAACAAATTTCTGATCACCTTATAAACTCTTAAATGTCATTACTTGCTTTTTTTCTTTTCACTTTATTATAAAATGTTATTATATAGTTATATTAGCTGTTAGAAAGATCGGCACGCGCATTTTGTTTGTGGTATTTGTCTTTAACTGCAGCTAAAGCGATAGTGTTGAATCACTGAAGTCGTTTCTGATAAAATCTGCCCCATTACTTTTTTCTTATAGTCAAGTACAGTGCGGTCATATATGAACGAGATATGAACCCGTAGCGGCCTAAGCGCTCAACTAAAATGAAATTTCACATATTGTTATTTGAAGGTATGCGACTCGAGAGTCTAATGATTAGTAGAAACAGTAGAGCTCTCATTGTGACGGTAACAGCGAAAAAAAATTCGAAGTTTCAGAATAGCAACATGTACTTTTTCAATGAGCAAATTATCAGGATGTCAAACATAAATGACGGAGCAATACATGTTTGACGGAAATTGCCGGCGTAAAATATTTTCAAAGAAAAGCATTATAAAGGACTAATGACAACAAAAGAAAGGCGAGGGAGAAAAAGAAACATCGTACATCGCAGGAGGAATCTAATTTCACGTTTATGGCTCTTTCGATTCTAATAAATCTCATGGATTTTATGCGTGTATACCTTAGATTTCAGACAACCCCAGAACCAGAAATCCATGGGATTGAGGCTGGGAGATAAGGGTAGACACGAAACTGCGAAGTTACGGGAAATGACAATCTTTGTACGCGTTGAAAATTTGCAGTTCCAATAAGTATTTTTCCCTTTCCTGTCTTGTGTTCTCATTGGTTCTCTAAAAACCTTTTACGCCGGAATTTTCCTTATGTGTATTCCTCCAACACTATTTTACTATTTACTTCATCCCTACAACACTATTTTACTATTGTCTACCAAAATGTGGTTCACGAAATTTACATTTCTCCGCGAAATATCCCTTTTTCCGTTACAACATGCTAATTTCATATAAAAGTTATTATAAAGAATTGAAGTATAATAAATAAGACAATTTTATAATATAATTTCATAATACAAAACTTTGCTTATAATAAAATGCCAAAATGTTTTCAGTTTAAAAATTGCACATCCTTCATAATATCTAGACGTTAAAAATAATACTGTAACGGTTCTTCAAATTAAAATGTAAATCTATATTTTAAATAGAGAATTTAAGAAATATTAGAAAGACACGACGTTAGAGGAAAACACGTCGCTGTGAAATCGATTCAACTATTTTGGGAGAGAAATAAATAATTCTTAACAAAGGTATGAAATAAATTTGACCTAACCAGGCTGGCAACTACTTGCATAAAACTTTCTGGTGTGGCAAGAGGAATCAATTTGCAGACGAATCGAGAAGCAAATACCCAACAAATACACT